GGAGGGAGAAGGGATTATGATAAAGAAAGTTGTGACTATTTCAAACCAACAGTGAGAGTAAGCACACCTATATGTATTGTACAACTCTAAAGAGATTGAAGACTACGTGGACAAGCATTATTGATGAGCTTAAGAGGGATAATCCCAATAAACTTGAAAATTGATACACCAAAACACACAATAAATAATTTACAGCTCTCTTGGTTCTGTTATCAAAAAATGTTGTTTTGTATAAAACTTCATAATACAGGGGACTGCTAGAAAAGCAGTACTCGTATTTAAAAAAATCATAAATACTTGATGGTTATTAGTCTAAAATCATCAACCGTCAAGTATTATGATAATGCTTGACGGTTTTAAGAGTAACCATCAAGTATTTTGAGAATATTTGACGATAACTCAAACAACCATCAAGTAATGTAAGCTAGTAATGGTAATGTTGGTAATTAATACTTGATGGTTTTAATTTCAAAACCTTCAAATATTACCAAAAATATTTGAGGTTAATAACTGTCAAATATTACCCATCAAAATATATGACGCAAGCATACTTGATGGTTTTTAATTGTCTAATATGAACAAAAATAACCGTCAATTATTATGTTTTTTGTAGTAGTGATATGTGAGTGTCTATTGTCTAAACTGAAAAAAGATCAAAGGGCATTGATCCAAGTGGAAGAGTTTATGGCCACTTATGAAGTTTCAAGTTCAAGTTTGTATGAATGTGGAAGATTTCATTGAGAAATTTATCCTGATTAAATCAGTCAATGTTTAAATTTAATTCAACAATACTGTACCACATAGTATTTTAAAAAACTGAAGTAAAAAGTTGAGTACCATATTCGATACTAAATGCGAGAGTTAAATAATTTATTCACATAAATCAAGAAAATTAGTTAAATTTTTATTTGTAAAAATGTGTGTTGGCTTTCCTAAAGTATTATTATTTTTTAATTATTTACATTGAAAATGTGTGCAATTTATGGGAATAGTTTGGAATAAAATAATAAACATGGAAGACAAATTACTACTACAAAAAGACTTTTTACACTTGGGTAGTTTTATTGTTAATCAAATTCATGCCTTTTGAACATATTTTTCTTGCATCAATACACTCTTTGATATGTTTGTGCATATTTTGGATACACTCATCAAATGAGAAAAATGTTATTGATGTTGTTCTTTTTGTAGGAATATTGTGATACGTGCACCAACTTATGAAGCCACATTGTAATAGGAAGACTTGGAAGTAAGAAGATGGTGAAAGGGAAACAAATTCAATAGAGTGAAATAGAAAAGAAGAGCGCCTAGGCAGCGTCCCTGCATTAAAAAAAAAAAAAAGAAGAAGCAGGAAATACAATAAATATTGGAGCCCTCCAAGTTGAAATCTCATTGGAAATTATACGATGAATTATTTCAATTTCTGTCGGAGTGCTACGGGAAATTAACTTATTCATCTCATAAGTCGTTCTTGTAGTAGATAGATTGCTACCTGCATGTGGAGTAATGCCGTGAACATTCCATGCTGATCAGAAAAATAAGCATAAAATGCTGATCTTAATCTAAACTAAGTACTTGGCCCTCAATAATCCATTAGCTCCCAACTTTCAAATGATTATAGGAAAAATAATCAAATAAATACCTATTAAATCTTAAAAGGACTAATAGGTAATGCTCATATGTAAAATGATAAATTGGTGATAGAATAAGAATTTGTCATTTTAATATTTGTGTCAAAAGACAAAACTACCCCTTTATTTTTTTTTCTTTTTTAAATGCCACCTAAGTACTTGGCCAATGGTCGGCCACCGAAACTTCAGTGCCAGTGACCCTTCTAGCAGCCCGCGGCAAGAGCCCTAGTGATTGCTCTTGTAAAGGTATTAACTATTCTTGTTAAGTTATTGATCACTTTTATTTCTAAGGTTCCTATGACTTCTCTTAGGTGCGGTATTGACTAGTCTCATTAAACTATTGATTACTTTTATTTTTAGAGTTTTGTTGAGTACTCTTACAAAGGTATTGACTAATTAATTTTGGTATTGACTACTTTTGTTTCAAAAGTTTAAAAAATGAATTAGGAATTGTTAGGGATCTAGAGTGATTGTTTTTATTTAGCCATTTACTACTCTAATTTGGCTATTTATTACTTTCATTTCAAAAATTTGAAAAAATTATTATAAGCTCCGGTTACTATTTTTGAAGAACAAGAGTAATCAATAAATCAACAAGAATAGTTCTCGAAACTCTAGAAATAAAATTAATTAATAGCTTCACAATAATAGTTAATAAACAAGAGTAATCATCATAACTTGATATAAATCCTTATTTTATTATATTATTTTGTCTCTTATTTTGGAAGTTTATCATATTTATTTTGCTTAATTAGGTGTTAAAGTGCATATTTGATTACAAGAGTACTGTGGGGAGTTGATTGTGCCAAAATGTATATTTTTGCTAAAATTTGTGATTATTGAATATTGCCCATTATTTGGACATATGATTCTACCTTTATTGATTTCAATGTGTAGGTAATGGTATGACAACACTTGTTAATTGGTCAAAGGATGAGGGGGTGTCACTTGAATTGAAGGGCAAAATTGGAATTGTGAAGTACATATGTGGAGATTTTTTTGAATAAAAAAAACAAGTATTAATGATATAAGATTACAAGAGAAAGTGAAGAGAAAAGTTAGTGGAGACATTTCTCTTCCACCTCCCACTTATAGGAAAGCATCAATGCTATTGGGGTACAAGGCTTTTGGTCATATATGCAGATTTTATTTTATTTAAGAAGAGGCCAAATTAGTTTGGGTTTTTATGTTTCATCTTGGCCTAGACTAAGGGGGTGTTTTGTTCCCTTAAAATTAAAAGCACTTTCTTTTAAATTGAGATAAAAGTTTTCTCAACTACTCATTTCGTACATCATAAAATTGCTTTTAAAATCATGATTTGGTTTCTACTTAAACACTTCATAAGTCTAAGTTTTGAGCCACACACTAGTTTAATGGACACAATTGTAATTGGGCCAAATCTCATTCACTAAAGCCCAGTCACCTCAGTAAGAAAATCCGTAAGAAGGAATGGACAAAGACTAGCGAAAGTGAGATATGGTTCAAGCGGTGGAATGGAAAGAATTGAGATTATTGCCAACCGATCAGTGGTATTGAAGAAAGAGAAGTTGAGTCCGTGGAGAGTATGGATATCCTCTACCCCTTAATATAAGGCCTAATTATTGAATTAATCTTGGTGATAAATATAAAACTAACTTATCGTATTTATTAATTTTTTTAAATTACCTTTATTGATACTCATCTAACCATGATCAAGTAAGAAAGGGAGAAAGAATATTAGAGAAGATGATTTTGGTGTTTTACAAGATATATGTGATATTTTTTATAATTAATTAATTCACCTAACTTTTTTAATCTAATCAAATTAGTTAAATAAGTCTTATATTAAGGATCAAAGTAGTATTAACTATTTCCTAAGTGATGTCAATGAGAAGTGGATAAAGAATGGATATGGAAAAATGCTAAAAGACAGTGGAAGGAATTGATGATTATTAAATGTAGAAGTTTATGTCATTTCTCATGCCGACCTCTAATAAATAAGTCATCATTCATTAACATATCTGTGTATAACTATGCTTCCTATACTAACAACTTCAAATTAGATATTAACACTTTCAAATTAAATATATAAACAATGTAATAATGTAATACAGCTGATGACCATAATCTCATTAATCTATATTTATTTGAGTATATATACATTGCCTATTACTAAACCCCTCATATGGCTCATTTTTTTGTACTTCTCTTTGTCTATAATATAAAAACTAAATGATTAATTTGGAGATATTAAAAAAATTAGTTATTAACTTAGTTATTTATAACAAATATATCTTGATTTGAATTTCCTAAACAATCAAAATTAATCAATATACTTCTAAACTCCAGAACCAAGACCTCAAGCCGCTCATACAACTACTTTTAGTTGAGGAAACCTCCACGAACGTAAAAGCACAAGTACACGTCAAATCCTAACCAAAAGCCCCTTATCCGCAAACCACAAGCACAAAACTGAATATCAAAGCAGCTGAAATTTACAAATTAATGAGAGCTAATAGAGCAAGATTTTGGCTACTTACTGGTCCTTCCTTTACTAAGCTGAGCGAGATGAGCAAAAGAGAACGTACGGGATGATCGATTCCTTGAGTGTTTTTTCTTTTTTACCTCTTACTATGGAAGATAGTGAAGTCATTTTGCAAAAATCATTAATTCCGGAGAAGCTCTTATAGACTTCAGACTTCAGTGTATTTAAGTTATTTCAGGGTCCTAAATTAGGGTTTGAATATTAATATGAATTTGTGTATCTTTCTAATATACTACCTTCAATTAAGAGCCAGTTTAACAGTCAATTTAGTTCTAAATATAAGACTTTAATTTATTTTGTCTCTCATATTTATCTATTTTTTAAAATTAGTTCTCATAATAGCTACACATGTTAAAAGTTTCATCAAATAGTAATTATAACTAATACATATAATTAATAATGGTATTTTAGGAAAAACAACATCTATTTATTATAAATAATTAATTTAACTAATTTTATTAATCTACTCAAATTAACTAGTCAACTAACTCTTATATTAAGAATGAGAGATAATATGTGTGTATATAAAGATGCCACGCAAGACTCAAACTATGTTATACATGAGTAGGATAGGAGGATCTTGTATGTTCTAAGAAAGCCGAGACATTTTGAGAAGATTCCCTAAGCCCCACTTGCAAGCCCCATCCGTTCACCTGACAAGCGCATTATAGTTACTGAACACGTGTTCCTTTCCTCTCATATTGAATCGGTGACGGTGAGGTGTCATGCGGCTAGAGAAATCAGCATTCCCTTCTCTTGCTATTATTATCCCAAGAACCCTGAGACTTGTTGCAAGCTTATATAATCCTCTGATAATTTCCTCTTCTCTCAAATAGAGACATTCTCACTATCATCACTTCATCATCTGGCTATTTGATTTCTTCATAACTATGGCATCAGAAAAGTTAGAAGCCGCTAATCCTGTTTCGCTAGAGCTCTTCATGAAATATGATGAAGAGTTATCACAAGAATGCAGCAATATCATCGCCACCTTGCCCTCAGAATCGGATTGGTTCTCAGTCCAACTCTACCAATACCAAGGTTTCTGGTACCAGAAGAGGCTGATTCAAGCAATCCTCAATTGCCAGAACCACTTCCAAGCTCATGACACTGACATTTTCATCGTCACCCCACTAAAATGCGGCACCACCTGGCTCAAAGCCCTCACTTTCACCATCCTCAACCGCAAGAAATATAATTTGAACCCAAATCTAGACCCAACCCAAACCGTTGCACCCCACCCTCTACTCACAGCCAACCCTCATGTTTTGGTGCCAAACTTAGAGTTTGACCTCTACTTTAACACCAATAAGCTTGATCTAAGCTCATTCCCGTCACCAAGGCTCCTTTCTAGCCATTTACCATACGCTTCATTGCCAGAGTCAGTAAAACAATCAAGATGTAAGATGGTGTTCTTGAGTCGAAACCCTAAGGATGTGTTCATCTCATTATGGCACTTCACGAACAGGTTAAGACCAGACATTCAAGAGTTCAACACAATTGAGTACTTGTTTGAGAAGTTTTGTCAAGGAGTGAATTTCTTTGGGCCGTTTTGGGATCATGTGTTGGGGTACTACAAGGAGAGTTTGAAGAGGCCAGAAAAGATTCTGTTTTTAAAGTATGAGGAGCTTAAGAGTGAGCCAGTGAGGGTTTTGAAGGACTTGGGAAATTTCTTAGGGTATGGTTTTTCTATGGAAGAAGAAAATGGTCATGTTATACACGATATATTGAAGCTATGTAGTTTTGAGAATTTAAAAAATTTGGAGGTGAATAAAAGTGGAAAATTGCCTGCTGGGGTAGAAAATAAGACTTATTTTAGACGTGGAGAAGTTGGAGATTGGAAGAATTTTTTGACAATTGGCATGATCAAACAGATTGATGCTATTACTGAAGAGAAGTTTGGAAAACATGGCTTGAAGTTTTAGGCCTACGTAATCCTTCAGCACATCCAGTCTACTTAAAATGACAAGGTTCAAGAATTATTTTAATCTTTTGTTATTACTTTAAATAAACATTTGTTTATGTTTAAATTAGATTAGTAAATAGTTTGTTATCAGCAGACTAGTAATTAATAAATATACAAGCAAAGTACCGCTATATTTGTGATTTTTGATATAAGAGTTAGATAATTGATTTGATGATAAAATTGAAAGATAATTGATTTGATGATAAAATTGAGGAAATAAGTTAAATTGTTAATAATAATATATGTGCATTGGCTTACCTAAACTACCCTTTTTAATCATATGTATTGGAACTTTTCTTTGGTCAAAATCCCTTACAACCAGTAGGAATAATTTAGAAAAAAAGTTATAAATTTGAAAAACCAAGTAGATTGATGTCTTATATTTATGACTAAACTCAATTTTCCAACTAGCTTTTATATTAAAGAACAAAAGAGTTATTATATATTTTTTTGCCTTGATGTCTCTTCTGACATTGATGTTTAGTATATCTATTATTGGAAGCTATATAATTTAAAATCTATAAATCCTAAGTAGTAGGGCTTGAGGTACTAGTATTTCTTCCTAGTTTTTTTTTTTTTTGCCAAGTATTTTGTCACATCCCACCAAATTTGGCCCTGAGAATGTGAATGATAAATTAGACAAAGGGTGAAATACTAAAGTAGGCTCAAAGGCGGAAAACTTTTGAATTAAGCTCCGACCCTTGTCCAGACTGATATTTTTGAAGTTATCGGTCCAGGAAGGGCAAAATGAAAAAATTGGAGAAAATTCTAAAAATTTATTTAAAGATATAAAATTTATAAATTAGAGGTTTTGGAACCTTAATTGAGGCCCTGAAGGTAGAAATAGTATAAAAATAGTTTATTACAGAATTCCCCAAAAACAGAAGTATTTTGGAAAAAATGGCAGAAATTGAGTGAAAATAATTATGTTAAATATTTAGATGCCTCAATAATTTCAAAAAAATATCAAATAATTATTTAAATATTTAATTGATTTTATAAAATTAATTTCAGGCCTTAGAAGTACATAAATTAATTTTAGGGAATTTATTTCCAAAAGTCTTACTGATAAAGCCCTATTAGGAGGAAATTCAAAATAAATAATTAGAGGTAGAGAAAAATTCTAAAATTTTTCACAATGCATTCCTATATTAAAATAGGATTTTTTTTTTTTATGGAGAAGAATGTATTTTTGAGGCTTAGAATAATTATAGAAAGTTACAAGTGAATAGTAACTAGTAAACTTTAATTTTTGCTTGGAATTGATATTTTATGATTGGGCCACTTTCTTGGATCATTCCTAATTAGAAGTGCACCTCATTTTGGGCCAAGAAAACCCAAAATTTTTGTACAAAACATGGCCCAACATTTAAATGGATTTAAGCCCAATTTACACCTTAAAAGCAATGGAATATTCTTGAAAATGAACACATTGCAAGATCAGAAATTTTGATGCATGTGATGGGAGCCAGATGGCCTCTTAAGTGGCAGCATAACATGCCACATATAAGGGGGGAAGGTCAGAAAATTTTTCTGTAAATACCACCCATAATTACACTAAATTGGCCAAAATTTGACAAAAGAGGGGAGGTGCTGTCAAACTGAATTCTTGAGCTTAAAAGTGAGCCTTGGACAGTGCAATTGAAGGAGGAAATACCAAGCTTTGATCAAGGATTTATCAATGTAAGTTTGAGCTTTATTTTGGTTAAGTTTAAAGCTTGTTATGGTTAGAAATTTATGTTGTAATATAAGGTTATGCTGCTGCCATATTTTGGTCAAGTGAAACATGGCTTAGAAAAGGATAGAAGCCTTGAAGATGAATTGGAATTATCATGTTTAAATAGTGTTTGGATTAATTTTTGAAAGAAAACCAAGTTAGGGTCTTTAAGCACACACTTCAGCCATGGTGAGTTCTTAGGGTAGAAGTTTGTTTTGCTGTATTTTGATGATTTCAATGAGTTCAAAAGATATTTTTGTGTAGGAAAATACCAAGAGAAGATGTTTAAAATCATTGGAATCAAAAATGAAAATTTTGGAAAGTAATACTATGCTATTTGGCCAAGCTAAAATGGAAGGAAAGGGATGTGATTTTGTAAAATTTGATTTAATATTTGAATTCTACATGGACAATTGTGTAGGAATGGCCCAAGAGATTGATGGAAACAAAGAGAAAATAATTATGTCAAAAATAAAGAAAAAAGGGGTTTAATTGCATTCAAGGCTGAACATTAATGTTTGTGCTTGGATTTTTGGTAATTTGAGATATGTTTATACATGAATTTGTACAAGAGAACAAAGAGGAACCAAAGGAATCAATGAAAACAAAATTGTGGATTAAAAAGAGGTAGTATGGAATTATAATTTTAATGTTGACTTGCTTGATTATTACATGATATTATCTTGGAATATATGTCATATGTTATTTGAAATTGTTTGATGATAATGTGTTTAATTTGCTTGCATAATATGCTTGGCATAATGCATTAACTTATTAATTTAGAATGATTTGATATGGTGTTTATATGGCAAAGAGGTAGAGAAATGTGTTATTAATTGATTGTAATGTATCTTGCATGTTTAACATTATTATTGTAATTTCCTTACTACTGAGATTTCTATGAAATCTCATCCCTCTCAATGTATAGACAATCAATAGGAATCTCAAGTGGTGTTGCCAAAATCCAGGAGAAGGGAAAGGAAATCATATTGGGAGATGGTAGAACCTAATGCCATTGAAATTATGTTTTGTAATTATTATAAATGGTTATGTATTATTGTAAACTATGTTGGAATATTGTATCAATAATCAAGGAAGCTTTACATGTGAGCATTTGATTAAATAATCATGTTCAAGCATGAATTATGTAATTGAAATGGTCACATGGATTGAAAAGAGAAGAAAAAGGCAAGAATGGCATACAAGAGGGATAAAAGTTGACTTTTTAAGGATAAAGTTTTACTAATAAAATTTTATGCAATTGGATAGGATTTTGGATGAAACTTGTCAGACTTATAGATCATATTTTTGGTTTTAAAACAAGTGATAGTTCATTCAATTTGAAGTTTTGTGCAAAAAGTTAGTTCGTCATAAATTTTAAAAAATTAAAAAATAATCATATAAACAGTACCATTTTAAACGAAATATAGGATTGATGGATGAGTTCTGGATACCAATGAGTATTTTTTCCTTAAAGATCATGTCCAGAGCTTTCCATAAAACTTGGAACCATCTCATTCCAATTTTTTTAAAATTAGTTACGAATTTTCAAAATTTAGTTTTTATAAGGGTTATAATGAATAGTAACCCAAATTTAAGAAAGCTTAAAGTTCAAATTTTTTCAACTTAAGGCCATACGAAATGATCCAAAATGGTTCTAATTGAGGTAAAATGAGGTTTAAAAGTAAGATGTGACATATTTCTTCCTAATTAATGTATCCATGACTGTTCTCTATGATACGGGTTTTCTACAGGGAGCATGTGTTCCAAAACTTGAAGAATAACCATTTATGGGGTGTTTGGTACCCTTTAAAAGAATTTAAAATTAAAAAGTGTTTTTATGCAAGTTGAAACAAAATTCATCTCATGTGCTTATCTTGAACTCCACAAATTACTTCCAGAAAGTGTTAGTTTGATGACTGTTAGACATGAGGATGATGTCTCGCGGTTACAAGCTTTGTTGGATCAGCTACAATTGTGAATGGATTTGCTCAATCTATACGTGTGTGTATATGTTTGTATGTATATCACATCATACAATGACAGATCTCTACATCATAAGGATAAATCGTTGAATACCCTGATATCAAAAGAATTAATTATGCCGAGCATAACGATGGCAAACCCCAGTTCTATTTCCCCTCATTTTCCATTTCAAAAAATTATATACAACACCAAATCAAGCCTACAAAATCTAATGTCAATAACTTTATATTTGTTTTGATTGAAACAAAATGAAGATGTAAAGGAAAGTTAATGAAATAAGGATAATATCTTTCTTTAAGTATTAAAAGTGCCATTTTTATTTTTAGTTTTGAAATTTTTTTCGGAATAATCATAGGCGCATCACTTCAATATGTGGCAACATTTTTTTTTTAAAATTTTTTTAGCCATTGGGTGTTAGTCGATTAGGGTTATTTACCCTTTGTTTGGATGAAGAGGAAGGAAGAGAGAAGAGATTTTTTATTAATTCAATTTTTTTTTAAAAAAAATCACATACACACAATCTGAAGTTTAATGACAGTGTGACATTTTTCTTTCATTTCACCCATAAAATGATAGATTAATTAGAAGAGAATATTATGGTCAATGCAAATTTTATGATAAATATGTGATTTTTTCATGATAATAATTTTCATTATCATATAAAATATAGAAACTTCATATATCAGATGTCAAGATATCTATGATCGTTTTTTTAAAACAAATGAAATGATTATCTAATATCGCTAGGTAGTTCCAAAACTTCACTTGAATTGTTTATTTTGAAATATATTTTAAAATGCAAAAACAAAATAAAAGGCCAAAAGCCTAAAATGAAATTAAATAATGATGTCATGAGGAGCTAGCGCCCCAAGGACGGTCTTCTGTATGATTTACAGCTCTAGTATATATTGCTCTCTGATTCTTGATATATGATTTAATTGGAGAGTTAATCTTAATGCTAAATGTAAGATATATCTCCCATATTTATTTTTTTTTTCCAAACTATCCCCATACTCCCTCAACAAGGTGGTGGATTCTTTTACAACAGTCATTGAAGTCAAAGACTGTCCTGCATAAGGGTGTTTTAACAAAAACATGTCATATTTATTATAATTTATTTATTTAATCCAACCAAATTAATTAAATGAGTCATACATACAAACTACCAACTAATACTCCCCCAACAAGGTGGTGGGTTCTTTTACAACAAGCATTGAAGTCAAAGCTTGTCCTAAATAAGGGTGTTTTAACAAAGAAATGTGAT